CACTTTCTTTATTCTCAAAGAAAATATAAATTCCTTTTATACTGCTGACTGAAATGATTGCTGGATCTAAGTGCATAATAATCCATTGTAAGACAACTTTTTCCACAGACAGGAGCTCTAATTCAAGAACTACTAAGAACTCAGGCTGAGATTTGCTTTCAAATTCTGTCTTGCTAAGCCTAGAGCCAGTTGCCTTTCTAAGTGCTCAGTTTGTTCAACTGTCAAATGGAACCAATACAGAACTCATGAAGGGGTGGTGTGGACCAATGAGGCCAGCATCTGGTATCTTGTACATACACAATGTCCTTTCTTTATGTTTTGCTGTAATTGCTAACAAACAAAAGAAAGTAAATGTTTGCATTGGATTGTGGTTACTCTTTAACTGGCGAATCCCAATCTGGCCACAGTGGCAAATTGCATCAGGTTGTTAGTCCTTGGTAACTCCACCAGAAACTGAGATAAATTGACCCTGAGCAGCAGAAAAAAATGCCTTCTAAAATAACCTCTTGATGCATCCAGCACTTTCCTCTAAGACCAAAAAAAAAAAAAATAGTATGTTGGAATTGGACTGGGGAAGTTATCGTGTAAGGATTAAGGAAGGTTATTACAACAACAGCATGGGAAAGGAAAGCTACCTGGTTTCATTTAGGCAGCGCTTGGAAATGTCCCTCTTTCCCCCCAGCAAGCACGCAGGAGAATAAGAATTCTAGGAGCAGTTAGCACTACAAATCCTTATTCATGTACTCTGCTTATCTACATTGGCACGTGATACCTGCCCACCATCACATAGAAATTGTGAGAACTATTAACTCGTCCACCAGGCCGCACCTAAGATCCTGGAAAGCATCAAAAAGAATATTCTTTTTCTCTGCTTTTCTCTGGTGTTTCTGCGGCTTGCTTCTGTCCAAACTGAATCAACATTTCAAAGAGCTCAATTCCCATTTGGAAAGTAATACCTTCTAACCAGGGAATGTCAGCACTTATGGAAATTCTAACCCAGCCAAGGAAAGATAGAGAGGTGAAGGTTAAAGCGTTATCCCACAGTAACCTCCCAAGAAGCTTTCTGCATCAAATAAATTCAATTTTACATTTGTGTGCAATTCAGATAGGCATCTACATACAGGCACATAATACATACGTATCCATACACACTTCCTAAACACTCCATTTACACTTACTAAATTTTTCTCTCCCACAAAACAGCCTTTGGAAAGTTGTTCAATATGAATCTAACTTATGTTAGATTAGCCTTCCATTATTTGAGCTTGAAATCAGAACTGAGTATTCTTATAAGGGCAAATTGTCACTGAACTAGGAAGAAGTGGTTATTATCTCCACACATTTAGATGTTCATTGGAAAGCGAGAAAACAGAGCGTAAAGATATAATGAGAAAAAGGTTAAAATATCAGCCCCATAAAAACAAACAAATCCCTTGTAAAACATGATCAAGATTTTGTAGTGTGGCACATTGTTTAAATATCCAGCATTTCTCGGTTTCAATGACACTGACAGTTTGGAACAACTAGGTTTTGGCTGCACAGAAAGTGCTCTGTGCTGTGCAGCAGCATTGCTAGACTCTACCTACTAAGTGTCAGCAGCACTCCCCAAGTTAAGTCCAACCACAAAACCACCTTTGGTTGAAAACCAATGCAGTAGATGCGTATACTCCCTGACTAATGACTACACTTCTTGGTTTATACTCCTTGAAACAATCAATCTGGGTCTGGCACCATGACATAGTAGGCAGCGTTGACAACCTGTATGGACGTAGGTTCGAGTGCTGGCTGCTCCACTTCTGCTTCAGTTCCATGCTAATGTGTCAGGAAGGCAGCAGGAGATGGCCAAACTTCTTGGGCCCTTGCACTCATGAGGTGGATCTGGATGAAACTCCTAACCATACAGTATAATCTTATGAGACCACCACCATATTCCGATCTTCCATTGACAACAAGGTCATTATAGGGCACATGACTGCATGTGTATGTCTATGTCTGTGCAAACATATCACATATACATTATATGCATTTATTAAAGCCAGGCTTGGCAAACTGAGGCTCAGTTTGATTTTTTATATATACAGATGAAAGCTAAGAATGTTTACTATATTTAAAATATCTTAAAATAAAAAGAAAGGAAAAACAAAGAACTATGTAACAGAAACCACATTTACACTACAAAGCCTAAAATAAATATTTAGTACTTGTAGCTGACCCTTTACAGAAAAGGCTGGTAGCTTCTGTACTAGTGTATTTACTTCCATTGGGAGTTATGCTCCACAAGGATAAGTCCTTTGTTGAGCTCACTGTCATATCCCTATGATATCAAATATTATCTGGGACAAAGTGAATGTTAGGTGAACATGTTAATGGGCTAGCAACTTGATTCAGATTACCAAGGAGGCTACCAAGAGGTTACCAAGAGAGGAGAGGGAAATTTTCACTCCCCAGGTAGTCAAGATGCCAGTTCTACACAAGACAGGAGGAGCCAGGTAGCTGCAACTCCATCCAGGCTCCGTATGTGAGTGCAGGCACTCTAGAATCTGCACAATCTTCTGCCGCCTTGTAAGGTGTATTAGCAGAGAAGTGGAGCAACCAAGCCTCAAAACTGTTTTCATGCAGAAATACAAGCAGCTTCCTACCCCCCTTATACATACATTACAAAGCCGTTACAAAGCGGTGAAGGAAACTGACTCCCTAGAAGTGAGTAGTAGAGACGGGACAGAATTCACAACAGGGTTTTGTACTTTACCAACACATATGCCCACAACTGTGTTAATGGCAAATGCGCTACCATGGATGTGGAAGGAATTTTCATACTAACCACACTGCAGTCATTTTTTTAAAAAACTAGGGAGACTGCATTTCACTTGGAGTTCTGTGATATGCAAGAAAAGCTTCTCGGCTACCAATGACCAGAAACAGTGCCAAAGTGAGAATTCTGAAATAAACGATATGTAGAATGATCCAGTAAGCCACATCGAGGGCTTTCATGGGTGTGACACATGAAATCAGCAGAGGATGTTCAAGCTGCCAGGCCCATTACCACCTTTAAGAAGCAAGCCAAGAAAACTGACAAGTATCTTAGATAACACAAATTTCCACAGCTGTCATCTCCAGTGCCAGCTGCCGTATCTAATTAGACATCCTCTGAGGCAGCTGACCTTGGAGCTTAGAGTCTTTGGCCGAGAAACTGCCTGTGTTTCAAGGCTGCCAAGAGCCAGCCTTATAGTAACTCTGTGATTGCCAGTAACTTCATGCTTTTCTACAGAGAAGCAGTCACAGTGTTGACTCTGGAGTTCATTGAGTAAGTAGCCACATGTGTGCTGATGGAGATCATGAAACTGTTACAATATACCTTTATAATATAATATTAAATGTTCTACTATTAATGGCCTGGTGAGATAGCCTAGTGGCTAACATCCTTGCCATGAATGCATCAGGATCCCATATGTGCCGGTTCTAATCCCGGCAGCCCCACTTTCCATCCAGCTCCTTTCTCATGGCCTGGGAAAAAGTGGAAAATGGCCCAAAACCTTGGGACCCTGCACCCATGTGGGAGACACGAATGAAGCTCCAGCTAAAAGCTTCGAATCGGCTCATCTCTGGCCATTGTGGCCACTTGGGGAGTGAATCAACGGATGGAAAATCTTCCTCTCTGTCTCTCCTCCTCTCTGCGTATCTGACTTGGCTGTAAAAATAAATATATCTTTTTAAAAAATGTTGTACTATTGCCTAGACTTACAATGTCGTGAAACAATTAGCAAAACGTTGGGCTGTGACAGTTGGTGAAGTACTATACCATTGTAAGAACGCAGGAAAAATAGTGAAGGGGTGGGAGACAGGGCAGAAGGAGAGATGGAGGAGGTTTTGTACCTACAACATCATATCATGGGATATTGTAAGTGTTTAAAAGTTCAAGTCAGACTGTAATCGTGCAGAATCTCAAATATCTGGGGGGGGCGGTGTGTGTGTGTGTGTGCGTGTGTGTGTGTGCATCTCCCTATGAATTTCAGGTGATGTGTGCTCATTTTTTGCCTAGAAAATGTAATATCTGGACATCACCAGCTGAGTCTATTGTTCATGTCCATTTCTCCATTTCTACATAATATTTAGTCCACTATGAGACAACACTTAGAAAACTGTGAAATTAAAGCAGAATCATTTTCAGTGTTAAGCTATTTAAGGTTCCAAATATTAAATAGCTATGATTATTAAATCAAATTTAATCATTATATTTTCTCAAAATAATTGAAATGGAAAATTTCGTTAAGAAAAATTAGAAAATAACTGTAAATGTACTATTTCTTTTGACTCGGCTGTCTCCTTTACATTGTTCTACTTTATTTGGAAGTAGCATTAGAAATGGTGATGAAGAAAATGGGACAAAGGTCAAATATTTTCCCTAAAATCCTCTTTGCGAAAAAGGAAAAAATCTTGAGTTAAAATCGTTCATGTGATTAGCACTTGGAGTGCAACAAGTTAAACCATCACTTAGGACGGCAGCATTCCATATCAGACTGCCAGTTCAGCTGCTCCACTTACAGTCCAGTTTCCTGCTGATGGCTGTATCTGTTTATATCCCTGTCATTGACATGGCAGACCCCAGTGGAATTCTCAGCTCCTACCTTCAGCCTGGCCCAGCCCTAGCTGGTGCAGCAATTTGGGGAACAAATTAGCAAATGGAAGATTCACTCTTTCTCTCTCTCACCTCTCCCTTTCACCTGTCTCTTTCTCTCTTTCTCTTCCTCTCGCCTTCCCTTTTTGCCTCTTGAATCTCTCCCTCTCCCTTTTTGCTTTTCGAATAAGTAAATAAAATATGTTCAAAGTGTTATTTAGCTTCTGTGTAATGATTATGGTGTTTAGTGTTATGTTAAATGTTCTTAGAGGATATTTGCTTATTTTCATGCCATTTGCCAAGTGAAATCTATATGTGGGGAAGACATATTTGAAAACCCTGCATTTGCATTGTATTAAACAATAAAACACTTTTTTATTATCAGGCTTGAGAAAGAAATTCAAGATCTTGAAAAAGCTGAGCTACAAATCTCAACCAATGAAGAGGCAATTTTAAAAAAATTAAAATCAATTGAGAGAACAACAGAAGACATAATAAAAGTGAGTTTAAATCCATTTTAACTGATTTTAAGTTTATGATTCTCTCCCAAAACGAATCCACAAGTACTTTTTTATTCTCCAAAGAATATTCACACATCTATTTTTATAAACTATTAATAATAGAGTTTTTTTTTTTGCTTATAGTCTGTGAAGATGGAAAAGGAAGAAGCATCAGGAGGTATGTTTTGAGTTGCCTATTGTAGGATATTTTGTGATATACTCAATAAACTACTATCCTAAACATGTTTACTTTGCATTCATATTAATTTTACAGAATCTATTGAATACATCTATGCTAATATTCCCGATCTTCCAAAATCCTACATACCTTCCAAGTTAAGGAAAGAAAGAAACGAAGGAATAGAAGATGATGAACAAAACAGGAAAGGTAAACAGGAAATCTGTTCAATGCATATTCTTGATTTCAGGTTTTACAATGTCAAAGAGTCGTCACTTGCTATGACAGTGTATGCTTCCAGATTTAGCAATGGTCATATTAGACGATTCCATGAGGTATGATGCAAGTCATCTGCATAGGTGGGGATGATAAGGTTACAATATTAATTTCATGCATCTGATTCCTTTTCAAGCTAGATGGAGACAGAAAGGTTGAAAGAAAAGCTTCACTGCTCAAAAACGTCTCTTCTAGCACAGTACATCCATTTTTTGGTACTAAGAACCCTTTTTAAATGAGAATATTCTCCTTGGTAAAATTAGGCATAGCTTATTCCCAAGAGGGAATAAACGCATGATTTTTCATAAAATACTTCCAAGTTCCTGGGAAAATGTAAGTTTATACCAGTGCAGAGAGAAAATCTTGAAATGTTTAAGTAGGAGGAGCTACATCTGAAAGCAGCAGTCATTCCTTCATGTAGCATTGCTTTAATGCTTACTATACGGTAAGCATATGAGAATGTGAACCCCAAAATTAAACAGTGGGATAGGAAAGTTGTGAATGACAAGTTGCAGTTTTAATTGGGTAATCATAAAGGCCAAAAGCCATTAGGCTCTTGAAGAGCTACAACACACAAGGTTCGATCAGAAGGGAATACAGGAAAACACAACAAAAGCAAACACAGAGTAATTCCCAGAGTAATTTCATGCTGTCTTAAAACTGGGTAGTCTTCAAGTTGTTGCCTTAATCATAATTGAGGTCTCAGCTTTCCCAAATTGACTGGGTTCTTGTGGTCCAGTTGTCTCAACATAAATGATATTGTTCTATTTTCAGCCCCCTCTCTATTTATAAATGAGAGTGACAAGAACGAAACACACGATTCTCAACTTTCTCCTTCTTCCATACTTGCTCTTAAATTTAAACTTCCCTATTGTAAAAACTTTAGAACACTCCTCTATAAGGCAAGAGACTTCTTGTGCAGCAGTAACAATAAAATATACTTTCTTAGGTATTTTATCTACTGTAATGCATACTATAACATAGTAATTGAATAATGCAAAATGAGTAGTACAGAAAGTATATGAATGCAAAAAAGCATAAATTTATTTTGTTGAATTTATTCATTGAAAGATATCTTTGTTCTTATTTGGAATTATCAATCTTTCTTCTCCATGCTTGCTTTCTTAACGTCTTCCAATTTTTCAACAGTTTCATACAACTTTTCATAAAAATCAGTTATCACAGTATTAGTTATTATATAGCTAATTAGTAAAATTGAGAATTTTTACAAAGAGACAGCATTTTATATTAAAACATCATAGTATACTTAGTATAAAAATGAGTAACATGAAAACAGGCTAGTTTATAAAAGAAAAAGTTAATTAAAAGAAAATGAAATTTCTCTCTTAACAGCTTTGTATGCTATGGAAATTAAAGTTGAAAAGGATTTGAAGACTGGAGAAAGCACAGTTCTGTCTTCAATACCTCTCCCATCAGATGACTTTAAAGGTACAGGAGTAAAAGTTTATGATGATGGGCAGAAGTCAGTCTACGCAGTAAGCTCAAATCACACTGCAGCATACAACGGCACCGATGGCCTGGCCCCAGTGGAGGTGGAGGATCTTTTAAGACAAGCCTCAGAGAGAAACTCTAAATCCCCAACAGAATACCATGAGCCTGTGTATGCCAATCCATTTTGTCGGCCTGCAACTCCACAGAAAGAAAAGATTATCCCTGGACCAAACTTTCAAGAAAGGATAAAGATTAAAGCTAATGGACTAGGCAATGATGCAAATGAATCCACACACCATATGGACAATGGACTCTCAGAGGAAAGGGGCAACAACATCAATCAAATCAGTCCCACTCGTCCAGTACCTCACCCTCGATCAGCACCTCAACAGAGAGAGGAGATCCCCCTCACCCCACCAAAGAGGCCGATGACTGCCTGTGAAAAATCGAATGTCACACAAGATAAATATACACCCTCTCCAAAGACCAGGCTAAGCCCCAGCAAAGCAACAGGTGTAAAGTCACTCACTTGCCAGGAGGAAGAAGAGGACATCAGATATAATATCGTCCATTCCCTGCCTTCTGACATGAATGACAGAGAACCCGTGACAATGATCTTCATGGGGTATCAACAGGCAGAAGAGAATGAGGAAGAAAAGAAGCTCTTAGCTGGGTATGATGGGATCATCCATGCAGAACTGGTTGTGATTGATGATGAAGAGGAGGAGAGTGAGGGGACAGCTGAGAAACCATCCTACCATCCCATCGCTCCCCACAGTCAGGTTTACCAGCCCGCCAAACCCACACCGCTTCCTAGAAAAAGATGCGAAGTTAGTCCCCAAGAAAATACAAAGCGCAACTCTCCCCACAAAAACTCCATATCTTTGAAAGAACAAGAAGAACGCTTAGGCAGCCCTGCCCATCATTCTGCACTTGATGTGCCAGTAGCTGGAGATGGGACTGAGGATCCATCTTTAACAGGTAATAAGAATGGCAAGGCATGCCGATGCTGTGTGGTCATGTAACACAGTTTTCCAGGTTAGCAATCCTTTTGTGTTTGGCTTCTCAGAGCACATCAGAATCCACCTGAATTTTTTTTTTATTTATAGTGTCTAAATTAACATTACACAGGGTGGTAATTAAGTGACTTCAAAAATAAATCACTAAAACAATTATTGCTTTATTAGGATAATTCATTGATTGACCCAAGTAAATAGCAACTCCGTCTTCTGTCAAGGTGAATTACTATGTGTGAAGATGTTTGGGTCACTATATGTTGGATCTTCAGTAATGTATCTTCCTTCTTGAGTTTGACAATATCTACTTATTTGTGCTCTCTATAGCTTAAGCCTAGGTAAGCATAAGTTAACAAATTGCCTTAATTTATAAGAAAATATCAGAAACAAATTATTTTCTAGATATTTTATTACTTTGCTGCATCTTGTTTCTCTATATTTTTATAGCTTTATTAACTATTTTTTCTACATTTTCAAATACAATATGCTTGCCTTACATCATCTGTAATACTTAACTTGGCATAGTCATTCCAGTTTACTAATCATTTTTTCTTTTTTATATTTGCATTCCCCATTCTCTACAGAATTTTTATAGACGTGTAGCTATCTGGATATTTTGGCATAGAAAAGAAAATAACTTCAACCCTTTTTCTACAATAATTATAGTTCCTCAATTTTAAAGTCCTTTTTGTTTTTTAACTGCTATCATTTATAAAGAATAAACAAGAGTCTGAAAAAAATCACTTTTAATGCCTAACTTAGTTTATCATGCTTATCTTTGCTAAACAGATAAGTCAAATTGCTTAACCATACAGGCTGTGGACATCTGAAAAGAATAGTAATTTTAAATATCTCTACTGGAAGAATTCACATGAAAAAGCAATAAACTTTAGGTCCTAACTAATCCAGCAACTGAGGCAGTTAATGCTGTAGAAGCGTAATTGCAGCCACACAGCTTAAAATGTTTCTTCCTCTGCAACCCAGAAATCTAACGTTGGGTTTCCAAAGAACGGACCCTTTCCTTGATTTCTAGGAGTTATATGTTAATTGCAAATTCAATTATGAGAAGAATTTCTAACCCGTTGGCAGGTGTATACATATCTCCATCGATTATCACTGGGTTTTGAATCCATACAATGAGAATAAGTTCTTTTTGAATGATCTTGGCTTGTTAGTCAAACTTTACATCTTGTATTTATTTTTAAGACAACTCAAAACAATGAGAAGAGTGGAATACGCTGTGAATGGTCAATAGCAGTAACATTACCCACTATAAACCCCCCTCTTTGGAAGTTGAATATTAGCCAACTCCTCCAAAACACCCTATTCCTTCTGCTGCAGCCATGTCAACACAACTACCCCAAAGAAAATGACAGGAAATGACTAATGCTTCCAGACAACACTAATCATGCTACTGAACTAAAATCATAAAAACAGGAAAACATTTCCCAGACAAAGTAACAATACCAAGTTTTGTACTATCAATCAAAGTATCTTATAAACAGAACATTCCAAATTCCTTGCCATCCATACATCATACTGTTTTACGTCCCTGTTTTGTGATTCAGAATATGGATTAAAGAGTTGATATTTTTAAATACCTTTTAATGTTAATTGATCATATTTTCGTATGCCCTTAAGAGCTACTTCCATATGAAGAACAGATAGCCTGTCATACACTCCAAGTTCACAAGCCCCACTAGGCTGGGCCCCTTCCCACAAATCCTAATGCTATCTGATGCTGGAATACTCAAATTTCTTTCAACTTCATCATGTATGCTGTGTGTCACCTCCTAAACAGAAATAGCCCTGATATGCATAATGGTTAAGAATGTGTTAGTCCCTTAATATGCTTATCAAGGATGTCTCTAAGAGCAATTTTTTTAATTTGAAGCATAACATGAAGGGAAAAGAAACGTGGGGAAAAGTGGAGCCCAGAGATTCAAAAGACAATATTTTTTTTGGTCAAAATTTTGAACAGATAAAAAAATATGATAGAAAATTTTAGGCAGCACTATGTCTGTCTGCTAAGATAAATATAATGCAACCATGTTCTACGTTGTGATCCAGTGTCAGACACTCCCACTGTTGTGTCGCCACCCCAATGTTTCCTTGGAGCCACCAGCACCCCCCTCCACCACCACCACTAAGTAGACAGCTAGCTGTTTTATTAGTACTCACCCACTTATTCTTATATCTCTAGCTCTAGTCTGTCCAGTAGCAGTGTCAGTGGTGTTTCAGAAAGTGAGGCATCTCATTTTTGATTCACATGCTATTGGTACTGAAATTGTCAACCTGTAGTAGCCAGTAGGTACCAAGAAATATAGAAAAGAAGACAATTTCATATCCATCATGTTCAGCCAGTTGAAATGATGTGTCGGAAGTTACTACAGAAAGATGTGGCAGAGATCAGAAAAGAGAAGTTCAAAAGAAGCCCAAGATTATTTGCTATACCAAAAAACCTTCCATTGCTGATATGCTGTAGCCCCACATTTTTAACCTGGAATTGAACCTTCCATTTGCCATAGGCTTAGAGAAAGGAACGCAGATTCTGACACACTTTACTGAATGTCTACAGTACACAAGATGTGCTTAATTTATAGAATCTCAAGTTTACAAAAAGTAGGTCAAAAGAGGACTTGGCTTTTCTACGTTGAAAGAACCCTTCAAAAGTCTCTTTCCTATGTGTTCTTCTGAGGCTTTTATGGGCAAGGAAAATGTCCACAAAACCCAGAATTATAAACCTTGCAAGTTAACCCTGTCTCTACAAATGATCATGCCACTTAAAGCTGCAAGGAGAGTAATGCTCTTTAATTTCCTTGAAATAAGAATATTTCATGTAAGTGGGGTCACAATAAAAATGATCACGGTTTTTTTATAGTGCTGCTTCTTTGTCATATTTCTGTAGAAAAACTTTTTAGAGATGGGATCACTTTCTTTGCAAAATGATAGCTAATATATGACTTGCAAGTTGGAAAACTTCATAAACAATATTGTACTGTTAAATAACCAGCTCTTGGGCCATATTAAACACATGAATGTAGTATCACATCATTTATACAATCATTATAATCAGTGCCTTGAAAGTATCTCTTAGCCTGACGGAATTATGGCTCTTTATGAAGGACTATACTAATGTAGCAACACAGAGAAAATCTGTCAGGGGGGAGTTTGGGGGAGAATCCTAGTCTATACAAAATTGTACCACAAAATTCAAAAATTCAAAATAAAAATATAAGAAAAAAAAGAAAGTATCTCTTGTGAAACATGATGGAGGCAGCTAAACTCTTAAGTTTTTAATATTAAAGAGTATGATACCAAAATACTAAAGGAGAGTTATAATTTTATATTCTAAATTCACATTTTAAAAATCCTTTCTGTTTACTATATCTTGACAACAGGATGCTGAACTCTCTGGCATTGTCCATGTCCGCAATGATGGACATATGACTGTGTATGAAGAACTATACTTTAGTAATGATATAGGGGAACTAGGTGGGGGGGGTTGAAATTGGGGAGGGGATAAGGGAAATCCCAGGAGCCTCTTTAACTGTATCATAAAATGATAATAATAATAAATAAATAAAGATTTTTTAAAAATCCTTTCCAGATCTGCTATAACATTAAAAGCCGAGCGCAGTCCAAAAAAGATAAATTTGCCATTTGAAATGGTATGTGTATCTTGCCAAGAGACATTTATAATCACTCCCACTTGTAAGTAATGGCTCACATTGTTTTATCCATTAAGAATTTTTGTCACTAAATATCCAAAAGCTAGAATGCCTTCAGATAATCAAGTTTAACGAGCTAATGACAGGATAGGCATGAAATAGAATTTGAGTGTCAATATGCTTTATTTTCGTTAGCGTACAGCTCGGAAATACACACACAAAAGAGTCCGTAGCCCGTAGGAATGCTATTAACATGACAGGAAATTTTAGGCAGCACTACATTGCCCATCTTTTACTATGTTTGCACTACTAATTTTTCTCTCACAGAAATAGGTTCCTTTTAGTTATGAACCTGCCTCTTTCCTAAGTTAACCATAGCTTATTATTTCTACTATCTTTTTGTGCTACTAAAACAATGCTCACATTGTTGGATAAAAACATCTGAGGTATGTTCTAAATTTTCCTGTATTCTATGAAATGGTCATTTGGAGTAAAAGTTAAAGTTTTTAATAACTCTTTATCTCTTATGTTTTCTTTCATTTACAGCTTTAAGGATGAGAATGGCAAAGCTGGGGAAAAAAGTGATCTAAGAGGCCTGGCTCCACAATAACACCCTTTGGAGAAGAAACTAAGGAATTTTTGAAATTGCTCTTCTGGATTTTTGTTGTTTTTCTGAAATCCAAATAAATATGAATACACCCATATTAAGCCATATGAATTAGCATTAACCATCATTCATTTTTTTAAAAATCCAAGAGCCTGAGAAGAAAAAGTGCTTCACTTTTCCTGTTACTAGGCACAATTCAGCAGGGAGAAACCAGTACATTTGTATTGCATTAATACCAAAGCATTTCTAATAAGAGCTTGTTAAATTTCAAAATAAAGTTATTTAACATATCCTGGCTGTATTACACTAACTGAAATCCTATCTTTGCTCACACAAAGATGGAAAGGTCAAGAGGAATATACCTCATTACAAAAGCATTCATCTTCAAATATAATAAGGAAATACATCATCCCAAATCAATACTATCTGAAGACAATTATTTATGCTTCTGCTGAGGACAAAGGCAATTGTTCGGGCGCAGACTTCAAACACTAGCAAACATACAAATGACACAGATTTGGATTATCTTGTCAACGCACATGACTTTACACATGATAACTATGTTCATTTTTTTAAGATTTATTTTTATTGGAAAGGCGGATATACAGAGAGGAGGAGAGAAAGAGAGGAAGATCTTCTGTCCAATGTTTCACTCCCCACATGAGCGCAACAGCCAGTGCTGCACCGATCCAAAGCCAAGAGCCAGGAGCTCTTCCAAGTCTCCCACATGGCTGCAAGTGCCCTAAGGTTTTGGGTGGTCCTGACTGCTTTCCCAGGCCACAAGCAGGGAGCTGGATGGGAAGCAGGGCCCCCAGGATTAGAACCGGTGCCCATATGGGATCCCAACGCATGCAAGGCGAGGACTTTAACCACTACGCTATCGCACTGGGCCTGGACTCTGTACACTCTTAAATAGGCATTCTTCCTGGTATGCAGTTTAAAGAAAGCCCATGGTGTAATGAATGGTTATGACTGCTGGGTGTTGAATAGAGGACTTTTCAAAATATTCTCAAAGAGTATAAATCTGATTTAAGGTTTGAATAATTCTTGTGAGGAAGTTAGAATATTAATATTAAAATTAATAAGAATGTATACCTATAGAATGTCACTCCTAAAAATTCTTGCCAAGGATTCTTGTTAAGTCTTGATTTGAAGGCAAATATGCCCGTGCCAACAAGTTCTCTAACTGTGCCCGATGTTACTGCCTCCTTTCCCACATCTTCAAAATCCATTCCCATCTTTTCCTTACATGATGAATGCGCAGAACGCCCGACTCTTGACTCTCAGCATCTAGGCTGTTTACTCCCAACACAGATGCTATGTTTTTCAACTGGGCCTATATAAGACTTCATTCTATATTTTTCAATATAAGACTTCATCCTTTAAAAAAAAAAAAACTATCTATTTGAGATGCAGAGTCAAGGAGGGGTGGGGTGTTCTCATCCACTGATTCCTGTCCTAAATGCCAGGAAAGGTTGGGCTTCAATCAGGGCTAAAGCCAGGAGTCAGGAATTCCATCCATAGACCTTATCTTAATTATGGGTCTGAAGACAATGACGGAAAAGCACTTGAATTGTTCTGTGTGCAGGCTCCTTCTGCCCATTTGGAATGTCCTGGGAAATCTGCAGGACACTCCTTGCCTTTCATGACTCAGACTTCAGCAGAAGTGATCTGCCAAACCTGCAAATGCCTTTTAGTCTTACCACCATTGTAACTGCAGCATGGATTTTATTTTCAACATAGTCTCCCCTCTGACTACAGGAAACAAAGGTCTCTAAATATTGCCTTGGGGCCTGTATGTGTTTTTTATTTTGTTTGTTTTGTTTTGATGCCCCGAGTAAATAGTTGCCTGATAGGGACCTAATTTCTATTCTTCAAGGCTTCTTGGGGAATTATTAAAAAAAAAAAAAAAAATCAGCCAACTTCACAAGGTATCTTAGTACGTAACAATTTCTGTGCCAAATCAGACAAGAGCAGATTGACTGTATAACTCAGTTTTCCTCTTTTCACCTGCACCTTATCTCAATTTATACAAGTGAGAGCATTACCAGCTGCGTCAGTGTAGGGCTGACACTATGGCATATTGGGTAAGCACCTGTGGTGCGGCTATACCAGGTGGGCACTGATTTCAATTTTGGCTGCTCCACTTCAATCCAGCTCCCAGCTTATAGCCTGGGAAAGCAGCATATAATGGCCTGAAGCCTTGGGATCCTGCACCCATATAGGAGACCCAGAAGAAGTACCAGACTCCTGGCATCAGATCAGCTCAGCTCTGGTAGTTACAGATATTTAGGGAGTAAAACAATGAATGAAAGATCATTCTCTGTATAAAATCTGCCTTTCTAATAAAAATAAATAGATATTTTTAAAGTAGGAAAAATCAAGATGGTGGAATAAGGTGAGTACACGTTTTTTATATAGACAGAGAAACATTAGCCACGGAGAAGCAGAGAGGCACATTTCTGAAAATAGGAGAGGGCAGAACCACGATAGAGGGGCACCTAGAGACTGATGGACACAAGAAAGCAGCAGAAACAACAGTGAAGTGTTTCAGTGACCAGACATCCAAGCACCATTCAGTCAGCAAGGAAATGAATTGCACCAGTGGCTGGAACTCCACCAGCAAACAGGTGGGAAGGGGAGTTCATGGGGAGCTCAGGAGGTGAACTCGGACAAATTGCCTATCCTGTTGGTTTGTTTAATTTGACCAGAAGCAGAGGCAGACCAGCAGATCCCAAACAGGCAGTGCAGGAACAGGGTGGATTTCACAGCTCAAACACCAGTGGTACCAAATCAGTCACCATATTGCTTAGGACAGGTCTGCACATGTACTGAGCTGGAATTGAATTCATTTCTGTCTCAGTGAACTGCAATAACGTGGCATCCTATAGGTTCCACCAAAGATAGATCCAGGTAGTCCCCAGATTTAAAGGCAACAGACCAAGAAATCTAACAGTGGCATATAATGTGTGATTTTGTGTGGTGTGGCAAAGGTTTTGAGACAGCATGGAAAAGAATGAGCTGCACAAGCGCTGAGCTAGGGGAGCAAGCTCACTGAGGTCAAGGCATTGCACTGGTCCTACATTGAAAATAATACCAACTTTTGTATCTTATGACTCAAAATAGGTCTGTGTGACCCTCAGACCTAATGGCCAACAGGTTCCAGGAAGATCAGCACCGCCAACAGCCTAGCTATTTAGGATACCTAGTATCCCGCTACTCCTGCAAACTGCTCAAGCCAAAAGTGGGAAAAACATACAGACAATGGTACAACAACAGCGTGGGATCACAGGAGGTGGAGTGCTAAGCCAGGAGCTGGGGCTACGGAGACCATGGTGAAAGTCTAGGAGTCCAGATCTGAAACTCGCTGAAGGGAGTGGCACAGGTGACTGCAGACAAACTGCAGTCATGGCTTAGAAACCCATCCCAAGGAGAAGAATCTGCTAACCAGAAGCACAATGACCAAGAGCAAAAGAAGAGACAAAGACACAATGAATATTACTAAAGATTTCCCTGCAAAGGAGCAAAAGTCTTTGCCAACCTCAAAGTTAACTGAGGAATACATTGAGAAAATGAGGGATACAGAATTCAAAACACTTAATATAAAGTTTCTTAACAAGAAGCACATGCAGGAATTTAAGAAATATGTCACACAGGAAGTAACAACAGTAAAGGAAAAGCAAGCCGAGTTATTGGAAATGAAGGATGTAAAAGAGCAAATTAAAATTTGGTGGGAAGTCTGCATAATAGAATGAATGAGAAAGAAGACAGAATCTCAGAATTGGAAGATAATTGAAGGCAATGGAGAAACAATCAAAAAGTTGGAAGCAGAGCTGGGTCAAGCTAAAAAAATTATTCAAGAATTAAGAGACACTATTAGGGCCCGGCAGCTTGGCCTAGTGGCTAAAGTCTTCGCCTTGAACACGCCAGGATCCCATATGGGCACTGGTTCTAATACCAGCAGCTCCACTTCCAATCCAGCTCCCTGCTTGTGACCTGGGAAAGCAGTCAAGGATGGCCCAATGGACCCTGCACCCACGTGGGAGACCCGGAAGAAGTTCCTGGTTCCTGGCTTCGGATCGGCACAGTATCGGTCATTGTGGTCACTTGGGGAGTGAATCATCGGACGGAAGATCTTGCTCTCTGTCTCTCCTCCTCTCTGGATATCTGACTTTGTAATAAAAATAAATAAATCTTTAAAAAAAGAGAGACACTATTAAAAGACCAAATATAAGAGTGATGGGAGTTCCAGAAGGTGCCGAAAGAGAAGCTGGGTTTAAAAAATGTATTTAATGAAGTAATAAAGGCAAATACCCATAATCTGTAAAAAGAATTGGGAAACAGCATACAGGAAGGGCACAAAATTCCCAACAGGGTTGACTAAAAGTGGTCTTCACCATGACACATGCTAATCAAGCTCTCTTCAGTGAAACATAAGAAAAAGATCCTTGAATGTGCTCATGGAAAAAAATAAACTGACACATAGAGGAATAATGGTTAAATTCATGGCTGATCATTCACAGGAAACTCTATAGGCCAGAAGAGAATGCAGTGACATATTTCTGATTCTAAAAGCAAAAAATTGTCAGCCCAGGATAACAAATCCAGCAAAGCTTTCTTTCACATTTGAAAATGAAATAAAATTCTTCCACAGTAGAGAAAAGTTAAAAGAATTTACCTCTTTCAAACCAGCCCTACAAATGACACTTAACCATGTTCTCCTGACAGAGAAGAACAGCACCCAGCAAATGTGAAGAACTTCTCAGTGAAATAACAACAGAAGACTAAATCAATGAACAACCCATTGCTAAAAAAGACAGGGCCAAATTACCACCTATTTATACTAACCTTGAAAGGATTAAACTCATCAATCAAACATTATAGATTAGTAGTCTGAATTAAAAACACAAAGCCCATCTACTTATTGCCTACAGGAGATACACCTCATCAAGAAAGATAAGTGAAAACTATGTCTCATGGATTTTGATGTTTTTGTTTTTAGTTCCATTTCTTTGCAACACTTTAGTCTCATTAAAGTCTCTAATGACTCACAGAACATACAGTAGCATTATTCTCTTCAAGAAGTTTCTTGATTTTCTTTTTCATTTCTTCAGCAACACGTTGGTCATTCAGTAGCATGTTATTTAACTTCACAGCAAGTAAATTTTTTTTCTTCCTGTTGTTGATTATGTTTTGTGACTTTTCATTTAAGGGGATGTATATTAATTGTGTAATGGAGACTATCATGTCCTGTGGCATGTTGCTTAACTTCATGGCGTTGTAAATTTCT